CCCTACACAGGGACAAAGGTGTGTGCATAGAGAGAATCCAAGATAAGGCTGCAGTCTGGAACTTTCTTTTCCCAGTGTAATGTGGTTTTATGTTTTGATCCCTGATTTTCAAGGCAGTCACAGCAACAGTTCCATAGCCCTTTGCGCTTAAAGGCCTCAGTTTCACGTATGTTCACTAAATCTTACAGTACTAAATCTATAGCCTGGGTACATTTATTTTACAGGTGACAGAACAGAAACGGAGCATAACACAGTTATGTGACTAACACAACATTACGCAGTGGTAGAACTGGGAATGATTCCTAAGATCCTTGAAAGAAGGGTGTGAATTTTTAATAGGTGTGTCAAATGCAGAAAATCAAAATGTGTTTGGTTCAGTTATTTTTTTCTAAAAAGGAGAAACGTCACTGGTGTTTAATATGCCATTAAGTTTGGTTAATGTTTGAACAATTGTTGAGGAACAGCAGGATTTTTGTTAAGACGAAAACCAGACTCTGATCTCTAGAATGCTGTTAAATGAGTTTTATCTGAGGTTTTCCTCATTTAAAGAGCTATTTTTATTGACAGCACACAAACAATGTAAAATGTAAATTTTCAGTAGATTACATTCTTTTGTGGACAGGCTAACCCAAAACCTATATCCCACAGTATTGCCAATTCAGCTGTCATTCTGAACAAGGTAAATTTTGCTTTCACTGTTCAAATAGTACGCATCATTGATCTCTCTTCATTTTAATTATTGCCACTAGGGTTTGGCGTGAGTTTATTTAAACCCTAAGCGAGAAATGTTAGACTTTTAAAAAACTTGTACTGAACAGGTTTCACATTTGTGAAGACAAAGGTGAGGGGGGTGCAAGAAAAAGGTTTCTTCTCAGCTTTATTGCTGATTCTCAAGAGAAATCCTGGCTTCATTTAAATCAGTGCAAGATCATACTGGTTTAAATGAGGACGGACTAGACACTTAGAGTCTTGCCCTCATTGCTAGGCTATGCTCCTTTGTATTTTAGCTTACCTCATGATAAATAAGAACATTAAATAACTGCCAATTTTATTTTTGTTTGGGTTTCATACCTTGAGTGAAGCTGATTAATGATACGCATAGAATAATGAGAGAAATATCCACTGCAGTGGATACCTGCTTACAGTTTGCAAATAGTGGAGCATAGCATCTATAGGGGTGCTCGTGTACAGAACAACTAGGTCCTCACCCCTTGAAATTGCTGATTTATTTTCAAAATGCTTGCAGCAGCCAAGGCCAAGTACTGGAGTGGGGCCAGTTCTGCTGTTGAAGGTATCTCCTGATCTGCAGTAGGTGAAGAATTTCTAAGAGCCTTCATCGAAGGCCTCTTGGTCCAAAGTCGGGATTTCCACTCAAGCCCATAAATTTGTTTGGATGTGCTGTTTCCAGACTGGTGCTAATGATGAAAACTTTGCAGGTGTAGCTTATATCAAATATTATGGTTAGATGGGAATGTAAATAGTTCACTCCTAAGAATATTGAAGGCAAGTGACTGGCAGCTTGAGACAATCCCTGTAATTATAATTGTAAGTGAATAATTAGAGCTTGTGTAGTGTATCAGTGCATGCCCCATCTGCAGATGAAAGCCAGGCTTTTTCATGTTTTAAATTGTTATGAAACAATCATCCTTACATATATTTAGCTTATCTTAATAGGTAAATACCTCTTCCTCACTAATCACAGGAGTCAAGAGAGCTAAAATGAGGATGAATGTGCACTAACATCATTACTTCTCACAGCTGTTATTATTTAGAAATTGAGTGAAAATTTAGTCACTAAAATGTTAATTGATTTAAACTTTTGGCTGTGCTTGGGAGCAGAGCTTTGTGTATCTGGCACTTCCTTGGACCTATTTAAAGATTTTAAAGAAACAGGATGTTTGTGGCTATCATTATATTGTGCTCATGACCAGTAACTAAGATCTGACACAAAGCCTCCTCCATATCTTGCTTTTGTTCTTTCTGGGTGTTTTGTCTCATCACTGTTGCACCAGTCCCATACTCTCACTAATTGCTGAGTCTAGCTCAGATACCCCCAGTTTTCTGAAGCAACTATGCCAATTGCACAGTACAGGGAAAAAAAAGCCAAGTTTTAGCTCTCATGGTTGGGATAAAAGAAAGGGTTGGCTCAACCTTGTCATTGCAGAATGTCTGCTAGATGAAATGTTTGTTATTCTGAAAGCAGTAATCATCCTTGGGTCTTCTCCAAACTTCATCTTTTTTTTGGCTAAAAACTCATCTGTTCAGTGCAGTATCAGCACAGTTTGTAAAAGATAGGCTCTGAGGAAATGTGATGGTGCTTCTGAACAAAGACCTTGTCCTACTTTATGCATCTCTGAAAGCCAGTGGCATGGTGACGCTGGCCACTGATGCATAGTCCAGCCATGCACTTGCTAGCCAGAATATCTTGGTTTTTTCCCCTAGCTCTCTGTCCTTCTGTGCCTCCACGGAGGAATGGCACAGGTTCTGTCAGTGCTGATATTTTCCAACCAAGCCCAGGTTTGCTCAGAGCTGTCATATTCCCTATCATAAGGAGATCTCCACAAACCAGATTTCTAAGGAGAGATGGCTTGTCAGGTAGAGTGTTTTCTGACATTCTCAGCCAGCTGATGCTTGAAAGCCAAATACCTGCCATGCCAAGGCTGTTAAGCAGTAGGTGATAGACGTGCATTTTTTTGCACTTGATTATAAGTGTGCAGGTATCTGTTGTACCTGCTGTCTGGTATGATTTTAACTCTTTCTCTAAATCTGGAATATCTCAGTTCTGCCATCAGCTCCAGCGAGTGTCGGTTCCTGTGCTGACAGCCCCGAGAGGCTGACTGGCAGCGTTCTTTGCACTCCAGACGTGGCCGTGAGCACAGTGAGAGCTTCAGTTCATCTTCCGGAAGTGACAAAAATTCACTGTCATTACCCTATTCCATTTGATTCTGGCATGGTTTCCAGGCTCACAGAATTAGCAAGGAGTGGGTTTTGTTTTGCACCCGAGGTGCAGAATTTCGACTCTTTCTTCCTATTGCTACATTTTCACATCTATGTACCTGAAATCAGTTTCTGAAACTTTTGACTTAGATCACAAAAGCATCTTCAAAGTCATGCTTCATCAACAGGTTACGGGTACCTGTACACAGGCACCATGCACAGGCACCAGTGCCCATTTCTTATGGAAACATCACCGTCATGGGGGCGCAGGGGATACAGAGGAGCTCCTGCCTCTCCCCACTGGTTCCTGGCTGGCACAGCTGATGCCGTTGCCCTTCCCACCAGGGCAGAAGCCCTGGCCAGTCCCTTTGGGTTGTTTTCTCAGTGTGCTGGCAGAGAAATAGCAGCAGGAGCTGGCTCCACCTGCAGCTACAGCTCCCTGCCAGCTTGTGTCCTCTGGGACACCAACTAGGAATGTATTCAAACATGCACCCATGGAGAATGCCGTCAGGAGAGCGTGTGATTGCAGAGCTCATTTTCCTGCTCCTGTTTGGGAGAAACCAGAGTTTGCTGCAGGTGCCACAGCCATACCTCAGAAGAAGGGACTCGGGCCAGGAGACACACTAAATTTAGGACATGAGGAGTCACTGAGTGCCTAATACAGCAGTGGCCACTTTAGACTGGCAGGTCTTCTCCCAGGCCGTCCCCATCCCTGGCTGCTGGGTGAGTCCACCGGGCTGGGTGTAGAAGCAGCTTAAGAGAAGACTAGGATGGCAAGACCAAGGGGAGAACTTTTCTCAGGTGGTTTGGACTACAGGACCTCTGGAGAGGCACAACACTGAAGGTGCAAAAGCATTTAGTGCTGGCCTGATGCTGATTCTACAAGGACAGTGGGAATTTCACCACTGATGTCAGTGGACTTAGAGTGACACAAGCCTTGCCTACATATGGACATATTGCCCAAGGAGTCTGAACCAGAAGTGTAGTAATTCAGAGTAGTAATTTTCTTTTTCTGGGTAACATGTCCCCGCGTGTCCTCAGCAACCTATTTTGTGCTGAAGTGAGACTGTAAATGGGGGCTGTCGTTTCTAGCCGACTGTATCAAGGCTCTTGTACTAACTGATACACATTAAAAATGAAACTGCATGGCAAAATCCATGTTTTATTTGCAAACCCCCCAACATCAGGAGGTCAGAAGACAGCTTTCAAGGAAACTTTTGTTTGATTCATTATAAAGGTGGGTATCAAGAGCCCTGTTCAGACCTGCATGAAGATGTCACATAGGTTACGAAGGTCAGAAGTGTTCTCAAGCTGATCTCAAATATTAATACAATCATTTGCACTGGTCTCATGGAAAATACCAGTTTGAAATATGTAGGTAGGATTATTATTTTTAGTGTAT